ACATAAGCCAAAAATGAAATCCATGAATCGTCTTCTTCCAATAAGCCCTAAACAACGATTTCCAGTGTGCAATCGTTTTTGTCTGCGAGGCTCTGCCGATGTCATTCGTCACGCTTGCCTTCATTAATTTCTTCCAAAGTGATTTTATTTCAAGGGGTTGGTTGTGGATGTCAAAAGCATCCGATGTCGAATTGGTTAATCTAAAAAACTAACCGCATGGTCAAACTAGAACACTAAACCAACTACAAATCCCTTAGTTGGCGGTCTGGCGGTGCTCGGCGCGTGTCTCCACTCGTTTTTCACGAGTGCCACCGTGATTTTTGCCTCGAAGACCTATCGTGGAGTGATCGGCGGATGGATTCGGAAAATTCTGCCTAAATCGTGTTTACCTTATCCGCAAACTATAACAGTGGTCAGCACATCAAATACCTCAAAATGAATTCGGAAGATTTTCCGAATAAAGAGTAAGAATTGGTATTACAATTAAACTTTGATTGGAAAACAAGTCCACAAAAATCTTATCAGACTTTCAAAGCACAATCTACTAGGTTGATGCAAAAGAAATTTCGGTCGATATAAAATGTTCTATTTTTTAAAATCTAAAAATCTTATTTGATTTTCTTTTGTCAATTTGTAGTCTTGGATATTCACTTTATTTTTACACTTTTTCTAAGCCAGAGCTTTCACTTTTTAATTTTTTTTTAAAAATACCGACTGGGGCTACCAGTGGTGAATTTATCGCATACACGAAATATATCAATCACAATACAACGACACACACAATACTGGCACTTCTTACCTTAACCCACGTCATGACAGACGGCCCCTAACCCTAAGCTCAAGGGGAACTAAATAGCCCTTTTTTTGGTGGGGAAGGTGACGATGAAGGGGTTGTCTGAACGGGGCCGCGGCCACCAGCTGCCCTCCAAAACCTCTCAACCCGAAGGGAAGGGGGGGGTGACCATGTCGATGTGGGGCGAACCCTCGACCTTCCGATTAAGATAAAAGACACTGAACCAGTCAGCCACACGTACTATACTTTTTTAATTCATATTTACTATAGATCATGGTGGATCAAAAGTATGCTGTGCGCGCGTGTCTCTACGATTTCAAGATGGGCGAAAATGCTGCCGAATCACATAGTGATCTCTGTTGCGCTTTTCGAGAACAAGTTATGACCACTGGATCCTGCTAGCTCTGGTTTACTCGATTCCGAGAAAGCATTGAATCTCTTGAAGACGAACCAGATGCGCATCGCTCAGCAGCGATCAATAATAATGAATTGGAACAACTTATTGGGCCCGATCCAATGCAAACAACACGAGAGCTTGCCAAACATCTCCAATGTGATCAATCAACAACAACAATTTGGAAATCGAAATAATCGGAAAGACCAATTGTAATGGGCGATGGGTTCCATATGAATTGAGCACCGAGAATCTGGGAGCACTGGTTTCGATCAGCCATATCTTGCTCTCAAGTCGAAAAGAAGCCATTTTTTTTTTGAGAATATCCTGACGATGGACGAGACGTGGATTCATTTCGATGGCTCAGCTTCTCGAAGAAGACAATGGCCCAGCAAGGGTAAAATGCTAATTCCAACTCCAATTATTATGGGCACAAAGTGATGTTGTCTTGCTGGTGGAATATCAACGGACTTGTTTATTTTGATTAAAGCCGAATTATTAAAGAACTATTAAATTTGAAAGAACCGAAATTACTTTTGCATCAACCTAGTATGAATTGATAAACCTTTTTCCTTCTTTCTTTTGTCTAAACTTTCTTTCTTTTGACTAAACACCAACGCGGGAATATTATTTATATTTTGTCTTAGAGCAAGTTGCTCATGCCATCAGCGTTATTTCATCAGTTATAGGGGGGGGGCGGGCAAAACACCAAAAAACAAAAAAAAAAAAAAAAAAAAAAAAAAAAAAAAAAAAAAAAAAAAAAAAAAAAAAAAAAAAAAAAAAAAAAAAAAAAAAAAAAAAAAAAAAAAAAAAAAAAAAAAAACCACCAAAAAAACCACCAACCCCCCTACCCCCATCCCCAAAACCACCCGCCAGAGGCAAAAAAAACCCCAAGGGGAAATTTCCCACCAACCCTTAAGGGAGGGACCAAAAAAACAAAAAAAAAAAAAAAAAAAAAAAAAAAAAACCCCCAAAAAAAAACCCAAAAAAAAAAAAAAAAAAAAAAAAAAAAAAAAAAAAGAAACAAAAACAACCCAAAAAAAAAAAAAAAAAAAATCCAAAAACAAACCCCCCACGAACCCCCCGCAAAGGGGCCAAAAAAAAAAAAAAAAAAAAAAAAAAAAAACAAAAAAAAAAAAAAAAAAAAAAAAAAAAAAAAACAAAAAAAAAAATATATAATAAAATTTTTTAAATAATATAAACAAATCACAAAAAAAAAAAAAAAAAAAAAAAAAAAAAAAAAACCCCCCCCCCCCCAAAAAAAAAAAAAAAAAAAAAAAAAAAAAAAAAAAAAATAAAAAAAATACCCCCCAAAAAAAAAACCCAAAAAAAAAAAAAAAAAAAAAAAAATATTTCATTCCCAATCCAAACCCAAAAAAAGAACAACACCCCCAAAAAAAAAAAAAACACAAAAACCCCCAAAAAAAAAAAAAAAAAAAAAAAAAAAAAAAAAAAAAAAATTATAAAAACAAAAAAAAAAAAAAAAAAAAAAAAAAAAAAAAAAAAAAAAAAAAAAAAAAAAAAAAAAAAAAAAAAAAAAAAAAAAAAAAAAAAAAAAAAAAAAAAAAAATTCCAAAATTTAAGGAAAAAAAAAATCCCCCCGGAATTTTTGGGGCCCCCCCTGTGAAATTCTGACTATTTCACTCTCATCATTGTGAATCGTCTTTTTGAAACGGAAACTTTCCAATTTCTTCTCGATTTTTGATAGTGGATAGTTGAAAAGATTTTGTTGATTTATTGGAATAATTCGAGGAATATTTAGCTTCTCCATTTAGATCCATTTCTTTTTTGCTGTTTTCAAAACTTCGATAATTTTGCACAAATCAATCGTCTCGTCATGGAAATACTGGTTTTAAAAGATCTTGGTTAGATTCTTTAAAAGCACAACCTTTACCCACATTCATCCAGGTAAATTTAGCAAATCTTTGTAAAATCTCGACAAAAGAAGTTTTCTTTAAAAGGGCTATAGCTCTGTTTCAGCTTCAACCATTCCTCGCCCGTATAAATTGATACATAAAATTGGCACCGCAAACGAGTTGTATAGCGATTTTCTTTTATTTCTTTTAATTCATCTAAATAAAAAAACTATATTTTTATATTTTTTTCATATAAACAATCCAAGATTTCCTCTCATTTCAAACTATTCGTTCCTAGGTGTAAACGGATGTGGACTAGAATTTGGGTTAAGTTAAAGAGAGTGGATCCCTTTTGATGTCCCGCCATCTCTAACACCCCGACAACCCAACTCAACTCCTCCAACGTATTAGAGGGGAGTCCCTGTGAAATGACCGACCTGTACTGCAGTTGCATAGACCCGGAAGATATGTATCTTTATTTACAGTAGTACAATAAGACGAATAGATTACAAATGAGTGTAAGGGGAGGGGACATTTTCTCAACATCCAAATGAGAGTCTCACTTGTCCTCCTAGGCAGTCCCAAGGACCGCCCCTTCTCGGCAATAAAAGGGATAAGCACAGGGGAGAACACATTTGCATAAGAATAGACAAATCATTCAATAATAACAATAGTAACTAAAATATCAGTTTGGCTCGGAGCTGACAAAACAGAAATTTCGAAAGAAAAACAGTTATTACTTGTTGGTTATAAAAATGATTGAAAAATAACTTTCAAATAATTCCCTAATTGTTTGAAATTGATTGATCACATTGGAGATGTTTGGCAAGCTCTCTTGTTGTTAGTATTGGATCGGGCCCAATAAGTTGTTTCAATTTTTTTGCAAAAAACAACATTTCTTTCGCGAATTTTTTTGAAGAATATCTGCATTTTCAAGCTCTCTGATTCAACCCGATCGGTCTTCATCCTCGAGAAAAATGTCCCCATTTCTGAATTTGTGGAACCAGTACTTTATTGTACTTTCGGAAGAAGAGTCACCCCATACATGCTCTTGATGTTTGCCTGATATTTGCCAGAGCAACAGAGATAGAAGTCACTTTTTTTAAACTCGTACAACATTACATTTCGGAAATGCCCGGTTGGTAGATTTGGAGTAGCATTTGAATAAATAATCAAGAAAAAAATATAAAAGAGCATTTGGCTTTCTGGATTGTGTTTTTGGATAAAGAACTGATAAGCCAATTGAAGAAAAAAAAGGGGGCTCCGTGACTAAATGTAAAGAAAATTTCGAAACTTTGCTGAGCGGGTCAAGACTTAGTTTACAATCTAATATATGCGCATTTTGCGGATCGGACGATGACGATGCGGACGCATTTCAACCAAGGATCGTCCGAATATGAATCGAAATGCTTTTATTAGGAGAAATTAAGAAATTCAGACGTTTTATAGGTTACTGTAGCATCATTTATTCAAATCTAAAAATGGACATGAAATCTTGAAAATATACAGAAAACGATGTGAATTGTCATTTCAAAAAGAAATTAATCGTTTTGGTCTATAAAAATAACAAAAATATGAGCCTAGACAAAAAAAAGGACGGGCTATTTCTGGTCATCCTGTATATTATGAAATTTGCGGCTTCAGCTATCCAATAAAATTTGTTAGCACAAACAACCGGTTGCCAGTTCTCCAAAAACGGAATCCTTGTATGGTTCTGTCAACTCAAAAACTGAAAACTCATTCTTAAAATAAAAAGCTGAAAAGGTCTTTCCTGTTATTATTTACACTTACAAGATATAAAAACGTGGAAGCTGGAAACTCCAAAAATTTCCGTGTGATCGCTTTTATTTGGCCAGCTGTTCCTGGATGGGTTCAGGAGCTCTCCAAAATGGAAAGCAAAACAGAAAAAAAACTTAAATAAAAGCTCATGAAAACATGGGAGAATCATTTTCTCAACATGCCAGATATCAAAATTCGTGCCGTGACCTTATTCGTTTTAGCCATATTTGTTGAGGTAAGACTTTTTCCCTACCTTTGACAGAAGTAAACTAACTCTTTTATGCTTAGTCTCTTATATTTTACAATGCAGATACTGTTTGTTTTTGTGGTAAACACACAAAGAATGAAATAATGATTTTACGGGATGTTGCAGGGGATAAATGACAATTGGGAAGCGAAAAAATGCTTCGGTATTAGAGGAGAATGTTTAGACGGTCGGCTCTGACTTAAATCTGCTGTCTGGTGTTTTCAAAACTAATTTATTGTATTTAGATATTCAATGCACAATCAATTTCAACCACAAATCCGTCGACCTCTTCCACAAATGGGACCTGCACTTGGTTCTCGGCTTGTTACACCAACAACGACTGTAACGGGGGATCGTGTGTGGGATTCGCTCTGAACACGTCGGTCAACACTTTACAAAACCTATGCCCAGAGCAAATTGTTTCTTCTTTTAAGAGTCTAACTGTTTAAGAGATAGTATTAGCAGAAGGTCGAGGATCCAATTCCCCCTTCAATTCAGTTCAATAAATTCTTTGCCATTCATTTCTTTACTTTATAAAACCTGGAGATCTGTTATAGATGCAACTGCTGGACATGCGTCTCCTCTCTTCCATGTCAATCTGATTCGACTTGCGGTGGGCTTGTAGGTGCTTGTAATGCGGCGACGAAGAGTTGCGATTGTTTGACGGTGAGAACTAATGCTTATTTGTATAGAAGAATGAACTTGTTTCACTATACTGCACCTCACAAACAGTTTATTAGAACAATAGCCCTGCTTGTGAGAGCCTAAAAGCTTTGAGAGTCTAGAAATAGCAAGGAAAAGGCTCTTTCAAAAGGAAAAAGGCTCTTATTACAAAAACTACGTAATTACCAAATTCCAGCCACTTGTACAAGCCGGTTACCCAGACCTTCTCAGCGTGTTGACAAAGTTTTGCTTTGTGCAAACGTGTTCGGCCGGTTGTTATGGATTGCCGTGTAATAAGGGTATCCTTGAGTACATCAAGAGTAATCTTAATATTTCTTGCAGGCATTTGCGTGTCATGCCCATTGACTGGTTAATGCTCACAAAGTTATTGAAGACGCTTTTGTTATTTGCTCTGTTGTATGTATAAAATAACAATTGTTGAGCTTTGTTTATATAATAAATATTAAAGATTCCATATTTATCGTATAATTTATATTATAAATGTTAATTTAGTTTACTGATTTTCTTTAATGAGAGAAAGACGACATTTCGCTGAAAAACCCAACATTTTGGACTAATGAGTTTATGAGAAATGAGTCATCGTGTCATATGGGTTATCGTGTTTAAAAAAAACGTTCGAATGCTATCAAAGTGTCCTTTGATTTGACTTAAGCTGTTAACGTAAAATCAATTCATAAAAAGTTTCGCTTTATTTAATAAAGTCCATGTTAGCTAGGGCATAACGATCAAGAATCAAGAATGAAAAAAAGGAAGACCCTTCCAGATGCATTTCCTGTAAACATCACTGTCGATATGATCTCGATTGGAAAGCTCTTATGTTATTCTCAAAAAAATGGCTCCTTTTCGACTTGAGAGCAAGATATGGCTGATCAAAACGAGTGCTCCAAGATTCTCGGTGCTCAATTCATGTGGAACCCATCGTCCATTACAATTGGTCTTTCCGATTATTTCCTATTTCCAAATGGCGGACAATTGTTGATTAATCACACTGGAGATGTTTGGCTCTCGTGTTGTTTGCATTGAATCGGCTTCAATAAATTGTTCCAATTCATTATTATCGATCGCTGCTGAGCGATGCCCATGTGGTTCGTCTTCAAGAGATTCAATACCTTCTCGGCATCGGGTAAACCAGAGCTAGCAGGATCCTGTGGTCATAACTTGTTCTCCAAAAGCGGAACAGAGATCACGATGTGATTCTGGATCGTTTTTGCTCTTGCTGAAATTGTAGAGAAGACACGCGTGCGCAACATACTTTTGATCCACCATGATCTATAGCAAATATCAATTAAAGCCAAAAAGTGAAAGCTCTGCCCTAGAAAAAGCGTAAAAATAAAGTAAATATCCAAGACTACAACTTAACAAAAGAAAATCAAATAAGTTTTTCAGATTTTAAAAAATAGAACATTTTATATCGACCGAAATTTCTTTTGCATCAACCTAGTAGATTGTGCTTTGAAAGTCTGATAAGATTTTTGTGGACTTGTTTTCCAATCAAAGTTTAATTGTAATACCAATTCTTACTCTTTATTCGGAAAATCTTTCAAATTCATTTTGAGGTATTTGATGTGCTGACCACTGTTATAGTTTGCGGATAAGGTAAACACGATTTAGGCAGAATTTTCCGAATCCATCCGCTGATCACTCCACGATAGGTCTTCGAGGCAAAAATCACGGTGGCACTCGTGAAAAACGAGTGGAGGCTCGCGCCGAGCACCGCTAGACCGCCAACTAAGGGATTTGAAGTCAGAACGTTAGTTGGCTTAGTGTTCCAGTTTGACCATGTTTTAGCTTTTTAGATTAACCAATTTGACATCCACAACCAACCCGTTGAAATAAAATCACTTTGGAAGAAATTGATGAAGGCAAGCGTGACGAATGACATCGGCAGAGCCTCGCAGACAAAAACGATTGCACACTGGAAATCGTTGTTTAGGGCTTATTGGAAGAAGACGATTTCATTTTTAGCTTATGGTTCATCTGTGTTCTATGACTATCCGAAGAAATATTAGGTTGTTCAGTTATAAATGCACGTTTTTAAGACAACAACTCTTTATTTTAAAAGCAAGAGTTTAATAGCACAATCAAGAATATATTTACCATCTGTTAACAATATTTTTTCCGTCTTCCATGCAAAAAATGAATTGCCTCGGCGTAAAAATTGGCTTGTTTTGAGGAAAAGAAGTCGGCTACTACTTTTCGACCCCTTGAACATCTTTGAACATGTTTCCTGCTAAATGGTTTTGCATTGAGCGAAATAAATGGAAATCCGAAGGAGAATATAGCGAATGCGGGAGAGGTTCCCAGCCAAACTCTTCGTTTTTTTTATTGAGCAATCTTTGCAACGTGTGGACGGGCGTGATTTTGAATAAACTTTACATTTGAAAGATCAAGGCCTTTTTGTAGCAATACATGGTTCACCAGACAGTAAGCATTACTTTCTTGCCGTGGAAGTCGGGTTTTGGTGTTGGTATTGGCTCTTCACCAGGTTATAGCCATTGCCGTTTTCGTGTGGAATTATCATATTGAATTTATTTTTCATTGCAAGTAAGGATTTCATCGTAAAACCCAGTATTTTTTGACAAATGAAGAAGAATACCCGCCTTAGTGACACGAGTAGCTTTATTGGCATCGCTGAGAAGATGAGGAAACCACTTCCCTTGTCGGCTTGTTTTCCCCAATTGATGTAAATGATCGGAAATTGTTTGAGGAACTCCAAATATTTCTGCAAGTCCACGTGTAGTTTGTCGAGGATTAAGTTCAATCACCTGCTTCAGCACTGCATTATTGTTGGTGGTCCTCATCTTCGAAAGATTAATTTCCTTCTCGAAATCGTTGAAACCTTTGGCGACACTGACTTTCCAAAATAGCATCTTTCCCAAATGTTTTGCAGATTTAGCGATGGAGATGCAGATTCGATGAGATTCAGAGGCGTTTTTGCCCAATTTGAAGTCATACCAAAGGCTGGCACCGAGACGAAACTTCGTGTCGGTCATCTAAACACAGAAATTGGATCAAAGATTAATTGGTTTGACGTCAAAAACACAAAAAGTTGTAATAAATAAGTTCTGGACAGCATATAGAGAATTGGGTTTGATAAAATAGCATAGCTCTAAGGTATGCTGTTCAAGAACAGGCGTGCATTCATGACTGGACAACCTAATAACCTTTTCGGAAAATAGACAGCAGTAGTGAATTCTGACTATGACCTGTTGCAATTCTCTATCCCTTCTCTCACCCACCTGGAGCAGTAGCAATTTCGACAAATACCGGTGAATCTCGCGCGTCTTCGAACTCATCACCGTCTTGTTGTGTCGCGAGAAATAGACGAACATCGAGACGCAGCCGATGACAGTGAGACAAAGAAGAATGAGAACAATCAAAACAACGGCCATTATTTTCAATTGGTAGTCAGTCAAACGACATTGCATCATGAAAGGCATCTCCGGCTCGCAAGGCAGATTGTTCCTCGCGCAGATCTAAAAGCGGAGTTGTTAGGAGAGGAAAAATACTGGGTCGAAGCTTATTAGGGTGTGTTGACCTCAGACAAATCATTATTTGGATAATTTTGAGCAAATAATTCTTTATCCAAATCATTTGGTCAAATAATTGTTGGATAATGACATTCTAAAATGCACTATCTTTTTGCTTGCGTACGTAAAGGCGGATATGATTATTCTGTAACCACTTTCATTTTCGTTGGAGTTTTTCGAGTCGGTATGTAATTAATAGTAAGTTTTTGTTTTGTTTTACCATAATTTTTTTTCTTTTCTATGTTTTATCCAGTCGATCTGTTAAACAATTTTTTTTTTAGATAACAAGGGCAAAAGAAGAGAAGAAGTAGAAAGCGGCGCAACAACAGGTCGACATGATTATTTTGCAACTACTTTAATTTTCGTTTTAATTTTCCAAGTCAGTATGTAATTGATAGCAATTTTTCTATTACCATTTTCAAAAAGGCGTTGTTTTTATATACTGACGTTCAGAAAACCAACCAGGCCAACATCGATGATACATTGTCCACTCGAGTAGAGATCGTGAAAGAAATACTCCAACGTAAAGTCGAGCATGACAATCAAAGTAAAAGCAATCACGGATAGCACTCGACGAACGACGATTTTCTCCGGATAGAGACTCGTGAATTTGTACAAAACGATGATGAAGAGAACGCCGTGATTGAGATGGAATTGAAAGAAGAAAATCGCCTAAGAGTCAAGTGAAGTTGAGTGGTAAGAAATCGAAAGCCGTTTCTAGCTTATGAATTTTTATATTTGGGCATTTAAATGCGACTTTCAAGAAAGAGTGACGAGAAATGATTGACGAGAAATGATCTACGGGTATGATTCGACCTATGAGAAAAATGCATCAACTTACACATGAGACGGTCTTGGTACACATGTTTAGAATTTGCTCGTCCTCTTTGCATATTTGGCATCAAATTAGGGGGCTCTATTTCAAAAAGTTGATGCCTTTTCCGTGCACAAAGGAACATAATTCTTTTGGCATGAACTTACGGCGAGAAAAATACTGAATCCAATAGATGGGATGATTGGAGTGAGCAAAAAGAAGACGGCCAATTCGGGAATTACGATGAAATGAGCCGAGATGGCCGTGATATCGTCGGTGAATCCGATCACCTAGAATCACCTAGATTTGCTATATATCCTAAAGCAAATTTAATTGCCTCATTACCGAATCACTCGAAAAAATAAGCCGCAAAAGACCAACCAATTGCAAAGTGAGCAGGATTTTGTAGGTTTTTGACGTCATCGACTTTTGAAAGTGTAGAAAATAGAGAGCCGCCAATAGAAGAATTGTCGAGATGATGAAGATGATATTGTAGGCAATCGAAATCCATTGTCTTGCAACGGCATTTGGATAAAACATTTTTTTTTTAGTTGATTGGATGGAAAACCAATAATGAAAAACCGAGTGAAAAACTTATTAGGCTGAGAAAAACATCTGGCCCTGGGTCAAATGGATTCAGCTGAATTGTGGGCACGAGATGTGAACAAAAAAAAAGCCAGACTCTTGTATAGCTCCTATTCTTGGAATCTTCCAATCACTGCCGTTCCTTTGTAAAGATGTTTTTGAGATGACGGATTGGATCTGGATGATCCTCAGCCGATCCTAGCTTTCAACAATTTGGTTTTTTCTTCTCGAAAATATCTCCATGGGAGGTTGTACAAGCGGCGAGACGTTTTGGGAAGCCGTCGATGGTGGCCAAAAGATACGCAGGATCGAGTTCAAGTCAAGCTTGCTGAGATGATTTTTTCAGTGAAGCAATGCTTGAATGTGCTTTTGAGCAGACCTTTGATTCGAGAACACTCCAGACTAGAGTGTGTTCCTCGCGAGTAAGTAATTACTCGAGTAAATTTGCATGAGTAATTGTCGAGTAATGCGTTTTCTAAAAAGTGCGCCTGCGCGAAAAAAATATCAAAAGCAATTTCTTGCGCAGGTTTTTCAAAAAAAAATAATTTTTACATTGAAAGGGGATTTCCCACCAAATCAGTTAATCAGCTGAGTATCTTTAAAAAGTGTCGTATATAATGCGGGGCTCGTGATTTTTGCACCATTTTTTTGCAACAATTTTTTGCTAAAAGTACGGTAATTTTTTCCCAAATTTGCTTTTTAAAAACGCATTACTCGCGAGGAACACACTCTATTCCAGACTGGGTAATCCATCGGATTTAAATCGGGGTTGGATGTTGGTCACTGCTTAAAGCTAATGAAATCCGGGTAGTTTCATTCACACGAGTCTTGGACAATTCGGGCTTTGAGGGCAAGCGCCCCATCCTGCTAAAAGAACCAAATTTTGTTTCCGAAGTGTTTTTGTGCCCAAGGCAGCACTTCCTGCTTCAAAATATCCAGATAATTATTTGCAATATTTGCAAACGGAGGCTGGTTCGGGTAATTTTGGGCACCCTGTATTCCTACAAACACTGCAAGCAACAAAGTGTCCACTGTACAAATGAGACTTTTACGATTTGAAACCTGTTTTGAACAGGTATTTTGCTATCTTAAAATCTTTTATTCGTTTTTTTTATTTTACAAAAGAAATGCTAAGAATGCACAAAAAAAACAAGATAAGATCTTTCTATTTTGAGAGGCCAAAAAATCCTGGCCAATTTTGTAACAGTCCAGAAGATGAGCCTTGCTTTCGTTGTTTCCATTCAACTCCCCAAAACATCTTACAGTTCGTTTTGGCCTTCAGTGTGGCCGTTACTGTGTATTATTTTGACAATGAAATTTCGGTTTTTTACAAATATAAAATCCAATCAAAATTCTTTTAGGTAGCAATTTATTCCAAACAATAAGCACCATCGTTATCTATAACATCTCTCTAACGTTGCTTCAGATTGCGAATCCCCTTATCGAAGAACTCTTGTTACTGGGTTTGAAAGTAGTCGGTCACCCAAATCTCGACCTTTTGCGCATTCTTAAACTGGCAATTCGCATGGAAATGTTGCATCGATCTGAAGAGGTGAAAATCAGATGGTGATAAGTTTGGACTAAATGGCGCATGTGGTAAGACCATCCATCCTAATTCCTCTAACTCCATACAAAAAACTTTCGCCATGTGAGCTGGCGCATTGTCACGGAGGGATTTAAACCCTTTTCACGCAAAATTTGGTCAACCTTCTTGCGCTGTTGAATAAAACAAGGTGAATCAACTGTTTTCTCGGGCTCTAATAATTCGAAATAAACAAGTCCGTTGATGATATTCCACCAACAAGACAAAATTACTTTGTGTCCATGCTAATCCGGCTTTGGAGTTGGAATTGGCATTTGACCCTTGCTGAGCCATTGTCTTTTTCGAGAAATTTTATCGAAGTGAATCTACTTCTCGTCCATCGTCAAGGTATTCTCAAAAAAAATGGCTTCTTTTCGACTTGATATGGCTGATCGAAACGAGTGCTCCCAGATTCTCGGTGCTCAACTCATGTGGAACCCATCGTCCATTACAATTGGTCTTTCCGATTATTTCCAAATGGCGGACAATTGTTGATTGATCCATTGGAGATGTTTGGCAAGCTCTCGTGCTGTTTGCATTGAGTCGGCTTCAATAAATTGTTCCAATTCATTATTATCGATCGCTGCTGAGCGATGCCCATGTGGTTCGTCTTCAAGAGATTCAATACCTTCTCGGAATCGGGTAAACCAGAGCTAGCAGGATCTCGTGGTTATAACTTGTTCTCCAAAAGCGGAACAGAGGTTACGATGTGATTTGGCAGCGTTTTTGCTCATCTTGAAATTGTAGAGAAGACACACGCGCACAACATACTTTTGATCCACCATGATCTATAGCAAATATCAATTAAAGTTAAAAAGTGAAAGCTCTGACTTCGAAAAAGTGTAAAAATAAAGTAAATATCCAAGAGTACAAATACACAAAAGAAAATCAAATAAGTTTTCCAGACTAAAAAAATAGAATATTTTAAACCGACCGAAATTTCATTTGCATCAACCCTAGTATGGAGATTACAGGGTGCGGCAAAAGTTCTGACACTTTTTCTAAGAGAAATAAAAGTTGCAAACTTTGGCAATATTAATCAAAAAACGATAACAAATTGTTTATTGAAGACAAAACTAACAAAAAATCATAAAAAATGTTCAAAATTTCCACTCTTGGCCTCGATGCACTTCTTCAATCGCTTGCGGAAGTTGCCGACGATGGTCGCGCATTGCTGAACAGTGATTTCGGCCCAGGCCCTCTTCAAAGCGGCTTTCAAAGAATCCACGGTGTGAAATCTCTTGCCAGAGATCTTGTCTTCCAAGGTCGACCAAACGGAGAAGTCCAGGGGGTTCAAATCGGGGCTATTCGACGGCCAAATGTCCTTACCCCAGTAGCCCCAGTAAATAAGGAAAAACAGGTTAACAAATGCAAAAAAACAAAAAGTGAGCCAAATACTGTTTTTTGAAGTTTTATACAGCCGTTTGAAAAAAGTGTCAGAACTTTTGCCGCACCCTGTAATCCTTCTATGTATGAATTTTTCGTCCTCGACATTTTTGCCATCGAATTCCTTGGATTTCACTCGCAATCCTGAGGATTCAAAATGAGATTTTTCTCTTCTGATATACGCTGGTCATTTTCTTGGAAGTCATTAGAGAAATTTCTCTCAAAAAGAGAGTTCGTTGAAAGAAAACATGATTTAGAAAAATTGTTGCAAGGGACTTCGATTAATTACACAAAATAAGATGCAATTCACTTCAAATAGCACTTGAAGTGACAGTGAATAATCCATCATCAGCAATCATCAAAAGGCAAAAATGAACAATCAAATGTATACAGATGTATCTACTTTGGTTGGATAACTGGTTTAACATTGTAGAGAGATTATTTCATTAGAGAGATTATTTCATTTGTACTTAAACTATCGAATCTATTTAAAGCGATTGTTTAATTCATTAAAATCTACAATAGTTTTGTTTAACTATAGCCAAAATATATCATAAATACTCTAATAGGCCGTCATTTCTATAACGACGGGGTATTGCCGCGTAGTCTAACTTTGAAGGTCCAATTCTCCGCACACCTTTATGCTACAGTGTTCGCTTTGGTGTCAAATGATAGCCCTTGAAATCTAGTATTTTTTGATATCAAAAGTGTAGTTGGGGAAAGTCTAGAAGCTGAGAAAAAAATGATTTAAAAAGAAGTTACGAGAAAGTGGCGTTCTGTTACATATTTACGATATTTTCTCTTTAAACAAGTGATAATCATTTAAAATTGATCGAAAATTTAAATGAAATAATGTAAAGGATTATTTTTTATTGGGTCGCGTCCGTTTCCTTTCTATTTGCGTTGCTATTTTGCAATTATTCGCGTCGCATTTTTCGTCTTTTTTTTCTCCCTTCCCGAAATTAATTTTTTTTTGATCTGCGGGTTTTTGCCTTCTCTCTGGGGGAACTTTGTTGTTATTTTTTGATGCGCATGCTGTTTTTGTAATGGGTATTGTTGCATTTCGGTTCTGTACTAATAAACAGTGACGTTATAAATTCACTTTACTTTATGCTACCCTTCAGGTTTTGAATCCTGTTTAGATAACTGGTTTAACATTGTAGAGAGACTGTTTTACTAACATTTGTGTCACCATCGACATAGTAACAATCCGATCTGTACTCTTCTCAAGAGTATTAATCTATTGTTGGATACTACGTGTTCTTGTTACGTTGTAAGCGCTTTTGGGGGAAACCCTTTTAACCTTTTGTGCTATTCGGCCATTCTTAGGCAGAAGCAAAGGCCATCCTTAAGCCATCCTCGTTGATAAGGTTAAAGGGGGTCGCTTCCCAAACTATGGCACTTTTTCAGGGTCAACGATATGGCCTGCTGTTGGGATGTCGGCACGTTTACTGCTTCTCGTGCATTATCGACTGGCGCAAAAACTGGGATCACGTCAAAGATCAAGCCGCTGTTTATGTTGAGCCGAAACGAACCGCCATAAAGTCCGTAACAGCTTATGCCCTCCATTGAAATCAACTTCATCCCATTCAGATCGTGTCCTCAATGTCGAAGCCATTCAAATATGATCGTACCGTGTCGGTTCTGGCCAACAAGTCCAATGCAGAAAGAAGTACTAAAGCCCTTTAACAACTATCAAACATTTTCAGCTCGCCAAAGAGGTCTACATAAAATTCTGCGGTTATAAGATTTGCAAGCACTACCAGGTGAGTAGACATAATTAGCATTAGGCAGCTGATTGCTGCATATTTAGTATAATATCGAAACCGGTCGCGGGTACGGGTGTCCACGTGGCGGAGCCGCTTGTTTGAATCGCCATCAACGCCCAGACGGAACGATCGACAAAGAAGATGCTCCCGAGCCTATCGAATACAACGACATCAAAGTAGTGACGCCAGAGTGAGTGAGGCTTCCGGTTGTTCGTCTAACAACGATCTGAATATGGATTTGCGTGCGTTCTTACTCTTTGATACGGCTAGACTTTCAATTATATAAGGACTTTCAAGTAATTTTCGAGAAAGCACTCCTTGATACTTACAACGGAATTTCACATTGCTGAGGTGGCTAAATCGTACCATACGACGCAGAATTGTACGCTAATTCCGATGGTGCTGTCCGTTTTTGCAAAATGATGCGGAAACCCAAGGGATCTGGCAAACAAGTTTGTGTAAATGAATCAAATCGACGATGTCATAACACTTATTGCAAAGTTAAAATAGAGCGAATTCGAGCGGTTAAACATCAAAATAAAAGGAAAACAAAAGGAAGGGATCGAACCCGAGTAAAAACTTGATATTTTGTTTCGGAAATAAGACTCTTATCCACTACACCACAAGCTCACATTGAAGCCATATAGACGGTGAAAGAAGCCTTATGTAGGGACTGTTTTTTGATCTCTAATTTGACCTCAAACTTGCTTGCCAGATTCCTTTTCCTTTGCCAGATTCCTTTCCGAATCATTTTGCAAAAACGGATAGCAACATCGGAATCAGCGTGAAATTCTGCGTCGAACGGTCTCATGTCATTTAGCCACCACACCCGGTTGATCTTCCCTTGTTAGTACCAAAGGAGACAAGTAAACTTAGTCAGATTAACTTACTACATGTCATCTTACTTGAATGAGTTAGTCCAAAAACTCGGAAAGTCTGTTAGGCTTTTAGGTCGCATTTCATCACTCCTAAAGATATCTTTGTTATATTGAAACACCCTATTTTTCAGGGTTTCATCGAACGAACTGGAAAGTGATATGCTCTCTGAAGACTCAGAAAGCGATGTCGATTCGATTGATTTGCTCGTTGCTCGGACTCGAGCCTATCTCGACGCGTCATCCCAAGATTCGATTGACGAATACTTTCTTAGCGACTAGAATTTTATCATCTATATCTTTCAGAATAAAGCTTTGATTGATCCTGATTGCGAAAGAACAACAGCCCCTGTTAAACTAGCTCTAGGTCTTGCTTGATCTGGCTGGCTTTCTCTAGCTGGCTTTAAAGGTTTAAAGAGATTTCAGGTGCGCACTCTATCCGACGTTCCGTCATCAGCGCCGGAAGAGATTTCAGCAGACGCTCAGTCTTCAACATCGATTCGAATCTCATGGAAACCGCCGCCAAAACAGAATCAGCATGGAGAGGTTGAATTTCTAGCTAAAACCTTAAGCCTAAACCATTTAGATAACGTAATTGAATACCAGGCTTTACAAGAAATTTTATTTCAGTAATAATTCAGTAGTAACTCAGTGAAAGCTTCACTTTACAATTTAAAAATTGAATTTAAGTTATTTAATTTAAGGGTTTCATTTCAGCCAGCAATAGTATAAAAGATTTTTGTTTACCACGCAGTTCACAATGAAAACCATTGGCGAATTATGAATTTAAGTCCTTTTGTTTAAATCCTTCTGTTTCCGCTAGTGATTAGAGTTGACAAGCGGAAAGTGAAGGTATCGGACAATCAGATCTACAAGTGGGCTTTGCGTTGTTGATATTATGGTTGGGGAAGATGATTACGATTTTTTTAGAATCCAGCCAGTGTTTGCTTTCGTGGTGGATGGTGCTAAACACACCATTGACGTTGAACGATTCGGAGTAGCGACTACAACCGACGAGAAAATTGTGATCGTTTGTGCAAATGTAAGTTGTTTATTGTGGGTTTCCTTCTACTTTCTATCTTTAGTGTGAAGACAATGAACAAGATGCGAAAGAAGTCTTCAAGAAAGTTGCCACTACTGAGCAAAAACAGATTACGATCCCTATCGTCTTTGCGTAAGTTGTTGAATTATGAATTTAAATCCTTCTATTTTTCAGCAAATGATTCAAGTTGACGAGCGAAAATTCACTTGATGTCAAAGTAATCGCACTTGAAATAAATCTTTTTGAGATGATAAATAGATGATAATATTGTGTGTAAGATAGTCATTTGATCATTTGATTATCAAATAATCATTTGATTTTTAAACTCTTTTATTTCAAAATAAATTTATATTGACCACAAAAAAAATAAAGAAATGCGCAAAGGAAAACGTTGTAAAGACAAATCGATGTAAAAAATTCACACAAAGGAAAATAATTGAGGAGAAAGAGAGGTGAACTGACTAGAAGAATACTGGTTGTGTATGCGTGCGTCGAGTCACCCGTTTCAATAAAATATCAAAAAGAAAGAGGAAAAAAAAGGGGAGGCGAGAAAAGCTACAGTCGTTTACTTTTATCGAAAGCCTTCTTATTTTTTTGGGATGCTTTTGTTGCTTTGATTGCGTTGCTTTGCTTAAAATCTATAGCTTTTCTATTTGAGAAGCTTTTCTATTTGAAGAAGGTAGGATTATAGAGTTAAATTGTGGAAATTAGAAAATAAATTTGAAAATAAAAAACCACAATTTAATCAACATTCAATTTTCTTATCAAAGTTGGGTTTCTATTTTTGAACAAAGACAAAAAAACAAAGAAAAATCTCTGAATAATTTGAGCAATGAGGATTTTGGAAAAGAAATCATAAAGTGAATCGATTAAGAAATTGAATTGAATTGAATAAATTGAATAAAAAAGCACAAAATCAATATTATTGGGTTGTCCAGTTATGAATGCGCGTTTTTTACTATTTTGTAAATTTCTCAAGATACCGAAATCAAGAAAAAGATATATATGAGTATTATTCGAAAGCTGAAAATCTCCTCTACATTTTGATATAAAAAGCTTTTGAATTTGTCGAGCTTTTAGGCAAATTGACTGCACAGAAGAAGAGGTGGCCAAAAAATGGAAGGGTGCCTTTAGATCAAGTTTTGGCTCCGCTCAAATTGAGTTAACCGTTTGATGTTTGACCAATAGATATATCAATACAAGTTTTTTTTAAAATATAACAATTTCAGAGCATCTTTACTTTTCTGGGCGGTTATTTTCCACCATAAAACTTGAGGAATAGCTAAGCTGGAATGGGTTTTTTTTCGAAAACGACCTCTCCCTTTGTGCAATCAATTTGCAATCCAAAAGCTGAACAAATTCCAAAGCTTTTTATATCAAAATGTAGAGGAGATGCTCAGCTTTCGAATGATATATAACACTCGTATACATCTGTTCGATATCTTGAGAAATTTACAAAATAGTAAAAACGCGCATTCATAACTGGACAACCCAATAGAATATAGCAATTTGAAATTCATTTAATTCATTTAATTCATTTACCCTAAAGTCTCGAGTATAAGTTGATTCGAGTATAAGTTCTGCCTTAATTTACATTCGCTTTAATTGCTTTGAATTCCTTTTTGCTGGGTTTTTATTGTTATATAAACTTTTATTATTGTTCTTGGAGCGCGGGATACTACAGGGTGACAGCCTATCACCATTGCTATTTGTTATGTGCATGGATACATCCAGACGATAGTGTTGAAGAAGACGCTGGAAAGCATCTCTTTCGACCGTCGACGTGGACTTTGGCCGGATGAAGAGGCCAGGGAGGGATCCATAAGACTGAGCACCGGAGAGGAGCAGGGCGGACGCGCCGAGCCACACCCGGAGCAACAAATAACAGCATAAAATTGCTATAACCCTTAATAAATTTACTTCTATTATTGTTCTTAAAAAGCAAAAAAGTTATGCTGCAGCGGGGTTCGAACCCTCGACACACCGCACCGGAGACAGTCGTCAATTTGCATGCGAAAACCAAACAGAACTTATACTCGCGACTTTAGGGTAATTCATTTAATTCATTTAATTCATTTAGTTCATTTGAATTCATTTAAGCACCTGAAAAAACCCAAATTTATCTAAATAAAACTTTTTTTTTGATTTTAAATAGAAAAGAAGACCCTGGATTTGAAATTCACAAGAAAAAAAATGAAAAAAAAGGAAAAAAAGAAAACAAATGAAGGATTAAAGAAAAGACAAGAATAAATGATGCTACAGTAATCTATAAAACGTCTCAATGTCTCAATTTCTCAATTTCTCCTAATAAAAGCATTTCGATTCATATTCGGACGATCCTGTTTGAAGCGACATCGCAAAATGCGCATATAGGTGTGACGAAAACGAGCATTGCAAAGAGCATAGCACAGGGGATTTATCGTCGAATTGATGTAACATAAACAGTAAGCCAACTGAAATCGAGTAGAATATTATTGAGATTAGCACTTTGCTTTTTTGTTTAATATTGAATCGGATAGTTATCCGATTCATATAAAACACGATTGAAACCCACTTGAAACCTTAGAACAACGCCGCATCATGTTGGTGTGCTTTAAAAGTAAAGAAAACATAAAACCCTCTTTTAAAATCTTTCACTAAACTCGAGGCTTTTGGGGCGTGGCTCTTTTTTCCCCGAATCTGCTTTCTTCCCCCTAGAGCGTAATCCTCTGAGCTTTTTTAATCGTGTGACTAAAGTTTAGATGCCCTTCCCGACGTTGCGTTTGATCTCCCCGTGTCTGATTTTAAAGGGCTATTTCGTTTTTTAAGTGACTTTGTCTTTTTCTGTCATTTCTGTCGTTTTCGCACTTTTTTCTTTCAGTATTATATATTCAATATTATGAATCTAGTTACTTGCTTATCGATATTATCAATAAAAATGGCATGCTCATGTTTGACCGTTCAGATCTCGGTTTCTAGAAAAGCTATCAATTTGAAAATTGTTTCATTAAAAAGCTAAGAATGTTAGCTTTTGATTGCTATCTCACACATAAGAAATCCTCATAGGTAAATGCCTTAAAATGCTTATCAATGCTTATCAATGCTTATCGAAAAGCTGATCGATCATCGATACTTTTGATATCGATAAGGTTTATTAGGTGCTTACTCATTAAAAGTCGCTATGTATAAAATAGCAATAAAAAGCTGACATTCTTAGCTTTCTAATGGAACAATTTTCAAATTGATAGCTTTTTTAGAAACCGAGATCTGAACGATCAAACATGAGCATACCATTCGTATTGATAATATCGATAGATAGAGCATCGTATTGATAATATCGATAAGCAAGTCTACGGATAGCTAGAAGCAAGACTACGGTAGTTTTTGAAAGTTGTTTTGTTTTAGAAAACGCTTAGATGGCATCGTTAGAAACAAATGGCATCGTTTAGCATTTGCATTTTCTCATTTTTTTTTTGTTTAAACTCACATCATAGAGAAAAATGGGCACCGTTCGCGGGAAGAAAGCCTCCCAGCAGACGATCACTGAAAATAAAATGGATATAGTTTTAAATAAAAAAAGTCAATTGTTTTTGAAACTTTAAAACTATTTAGGAAATGTTTTTAGAATTTCTGACCATTATACGGGGTCCAGGTAACGATGAAAGCGAAAAGAATCGCTGACAATGTTTTCGCCGCTTTGCTCTCCTGTTTTCGCTCGTTTTTCTTGCGTTCCTGAAAGGTTTTTATGTCTTAATGTTTTAATTTAAATTTATTTTTAAAATATCTCCATTTTCACATACTTTTTCACTTTTCCTTTGTTCTTGTTCTTTTGTTTTTGTGCTCAGCGTCGCTTTTCCGTTTCGAGTGGGCGCTGGAGAGTTTTCTGAGAGGAAATTTTTGAGTTTAATGATTAGGAAACAAATAGCATTTATATTTTTTAAATATATTAATAGAATTCAAGGTCAATAATACTATAATTAACTTTTTTGATCGATAAATTATTGAAATTTCAATGTTAACATTGAAAAACTTTAAATTTTAACCCGTCCTTTGGAGCTTATTAGTCGTTTTTGCGAATAAATCTTGCGTTTTTCACTATTTTCATGTTTCTTCTCTTGATTGAATATCATGAAAGGCGAAAATTGATCAAATTATCGAAATTGATCGTTATTCGATATTTTCTATTCTTCGCTTTACTGGGAAAAGGTTTGTTTACGGGAGTGGGACAAATGCGACCTTTTTTTGCGCACCCGGACATTTGCGCACCTTGCCCATTAGCGCACCTTGCCCATTAGCGCACCTTGCCCATTAGCGCACCTTGCCCATTAGCGCACCTTGCCCATTAGCGCACCGCATCATTAGCGCACCCAAAAGCTCTAAAAAGCTAATATTAACCAATTTCTATTCCAAATCTTGTTTTTCTAGGTAATTTGAGGGTGTCGAATTCAAATTTTGACATAACAGAGCGTGTGGAACCAATTTGAAAGACAGATCTAGATCTGAAAGACAGGCTAGATCAAATTACAGAAAATTGTCGATTTTTCTCTTTGTATAACTTCGTCCGTTCGCTTTCACACGCTTTGATATGTCAAAATTTCGATTCTACGCCCTAAAATTACCTAGAAAAACAACTTTTGGAATAGAAATTGGTTAATATTAGCTTTTAGAGCTTTTTTAAAACGCGAAAAAAGGTGCGCTAATGGGCAAGGTGCGGAAAAAAAGGTGCGCAAATGTCCAGGTGCGCAAAAAAAAGGTCGCATTTGTCCCACTCCCGTCCTTTGGAGCCTATTAGTAGCTTTTGCGAATAAATCTACTTTTCTAGTTATAAATCTAGCTTTAAAATATTCAGTAATATCATTGAAACGTTATTTAATTTAAAAAACAATTAGTAACCTTTAATAGCGGATAATTTCTTTTCATTTTCCCCAAGTGTCGCCTCGACTTCACTCTTTGATCGGCCACGATGCGACGAGTTTCGAGTACAAGAAACCTCACTGAAATTTGTATTTATTAAAAAATCTATTTGATTTTTATTTATATTAAATCAAGTGTTTTGAGCCAATCATAGTCATTTTTCTATTTTAGTAAGAATTAACACAAAAATAAGCCTTTTTCACTTTTGACAACACTTTCTTGAAGACTTTCATTTAAATCAGTATTTTTTTGGCAAGAGTTTTGCTTACATGATTATAGCTTAATAACTGAATTATTCTTTTCCTCTTAAATAAACGTTTATAGATCAAACCCGTACTCGTAGGCCCCGGAATCACACGAGGAGAGACGGACGGATGGACGAGTGCCCTCATCTTTCAACTCGATCAACACCGTGTACGTGTCAACCTTGAAAAGAAATTAGATTGGTTTATGATTGGATTATGATTGGATTATGATTTTTCCACAAGTAAGCCAGCTCTTCACAACAAGAATTTACGGAGTTGTTTCCTTGAATTCCGCGAGAAAAAAAGAGTGAGCGGATTCGAACTCTCGGGTAACTATTCTATTGGGTTGGTGAAATGCAAACTAGTGGCTGAAATTAGTGGCTGGCGTGCTTGTCTCTAAAGCGAACAGCCATTCGACTGGCAAGTTCGACCCTCGGTCGAGTTAAATTCCTTGCCCTAATTAAATAATTTTGGTTCTTTGCTATATCGATTCAGAGGGTTTTATTCGGTTGATGAATTGAAAACTCCGGGACTTTGAACTAAAATTTATTCAACATAAAACCATAAATTCATTCCAAATAGTTTCCATTATTATTGACGACTTCTGCCCATTTTACAGGCAATTTGCGGATTCCTCTTTCGTAGTAGGATTTTGGTTTGTGTGTGAGACAAGTGTGAGACACAAAAATCGAGGACTGGAGATGTCCCAGTTTGTCCAGTTTGAGCACTTTCTTCAAAAGAAACCCATTTTGGTGTCAATAGAAAAGTTGTAGAGAATGAAAAATTAGGCTTATAGCCGAATTTCCAAAAAGATACACTTAGTAGTTTCGCTTAAAATGCAAGTTTTGTGAAAATTCGTAAATTTGGCATTTCTTGAAAACCACTTTTTGAATCGTTCTGAAAATTTGGATATGAGCTTGATTTTTGATTCTCTACAACTTTTCCATTGACACCAAAATGGGTTTCTTTTGAAGAAAGTGCTCAAACTGTCACATATGACAATAGCCCGCAGTTTTCAATTCACCAACCCAATATTATCGGGTACTCCGTACGTCCTAACTCACTATCCATTAAACCAAATTCCCATTTTTGCGTAATGCCCACGTAAGCCTTATAAAAAGAGACCAAACTGAGCCAAAAACTTATTTGCCAACGCTAGCTTTCATTTGATTTTTGTTTCAATTTCAAACCTGTGGTCGATCAGTTTGTGCATTCCTCGTCCGATATCGACTTCCATTTCTCGGCGATCCTGTACCAATTGAGGTGCTGTCCTGGAATTATTTGATGATGAAACTATTATCTTCCAATATTTCACCTCAACAACAGTGCTATGCGGAGCGCTTCCTTTTCGTTTTTGATAAAACGACGAGGTGACACTCGTTTGATCATCCACAACGGCTACCACCTAACAATTGAAAATTATTTTCAATTTTTCTTTATCACTCACCTCCGATGAATCCTCGGATGATTGAGCGCTTTTGCCAGTACAAGCACGAATCCAATTCAATCGTCTGAACTTTTTCAATAAAGAAGAAAGAATTGACAAGGAAAGATTTCCGGGAAGCGGATTGAACCCTCGATCTTTTGCTTCTGCTTTTGCTTTTGCTTTTGCTTCTAACCACTGAGCTATCTGGTAGCTCAATTTGGCAAGAGAAAGAAAGAAAGAAAGACAAGCTATTTCATTGCATACCTTGCTTTCCCAGCAGCTCCAGCTATACTCCATTCGGTAGTTTTTCGGGAATTCGTTCCTAAAGTTTATCTTACAACTTTCAAGGCTATTTTTGGATTAAATTATTGTTTTATTTCGGATAAATGAACAGAAAAGCTACTTAAAAAGATCCCTTTCTATCCCAATGCTAAGGGGGATACTGTAGAAAGGGTATTGTTTAGAATAAGCTGACGAAACAGACGAAACGGACCTTAGCTGTAACTTTGGCCGTTACCGTACCGTACCTTTGGCCATTACCGTACCTTTCTAGTGTCTAAGTCTTTCCCATGAACATTCACCCGTGCCTCCCATACCATTCACTCACCCTGATTCCCCGTGCCTCCCACACCACCTCCAGTACTCGTACTTTTAGCCGTTACCGTACCGTGCCGTACCTTTGGCCATTACCATACCTTTCTAGTGTCTAAGTCTTTCCCCCATTCCCCCATTCACTCACCCTGATTCCCCGTGCCTCCCGCACCACCTCCAGTACTCGATTTCACCAGCGAATTCGATGATGGCGTTGTGTGGAGATCTCGGCGAATCGAACGATGCTGAAAGGTTTCTATTTCATAAATTTAGCAATTCATTCAAAAAAAAAACCATAACACTTCTACATCTTTCCCATTTTTTTCCAAGCCCAAAGGCTTCTTTTTCTTTTCAAAAACATGCTAAAACAGCCAAAACACTCAGAGAATCGCTCAAATCCATGCAGGATCAGTTTTTTTTGGTTTTTTTTTTACAAATTTGAAACTAGAATTGAAAGGGGGGATTTTTGGGTATTTCTACCTGTCGCCTCTTTCGTTTTCTTTTCGAGCGTCGGAAAGTCGAGTTTTTAGGCTAATTTTTTCAAGTTTAAAAACAAAAATAGTTAATAGATTTGATTTATTTGATTTTCTGTATTTTATACCGAAAGATTTTCTGTATATACCGTATTTTCTCTAATAGTAGTGCACCCCGGCGAGCCGAGTTAGTGACTATTTTACGGCTTCCAAAGTTTCCACAGAACCTCAGCCCTCTAATCCCCCACAAGATCTCATCGTCAGCTACATTTTCCGACCCCACATCGATAGGTTCTGATAAGCGCTTTTCGAGATTTCGAGGAATTTAGACGAAGCTTTGGGTGCACTACTATTAGAGAAAATACGGTACACTACTGGACATTGAAATATCATATTTGAAAAAACACTTTCGCACTTTCGCGCGTCTGTAACTCCCTTGTCTTTACCGTATTTCTAAATATTAATATTACCATTGTGTAGCCCTTGAAAAGAGCTTTCAGAAAATGTATAACACTAATAGTTTAAACTAGAGTTCGGCAAACAAAACCAAAACCAAAACCAAAACAGACCAAAACTCAATTTGCATATAAAATAACATGTAAATTTAAAATTGTAAAATGCAAATTTTAATGTAAAATGCAAATTTGCCTTTTACTTTTTCTCACTCCACAAAATCTCGCGGCCGAAAAAAGGACCAAAACACGACCTCGAAATTTCGAAACAAAAAATAGCCTATGGGATAGATTTTTGGATGCTGATTTCAAATCTGCAAACAGATTTTCGCTAGCTCCTCCCAGTCGCGAGATATTGGCGAGTTTTGGTTAGTTTTGGTTTTGGTTTTGGTGGTTTTGGTTTTGGTTAAGTTTTGTTTTCCGAAGTCTAGTTTAAACTCAAAGACAAGGGAGTTACAGACGCGCGAAAATGACGATCGTTTTTCAAATATCATATTTCATTGTCCAGTACTGTATATATTTTTTTTGAAAATCTAAATGCTAAATGATGGCTGTAATTTAAAAAAAAACGATTATTTTACCATTTGTTTAAAGCTCTTTTAAGTTTAATGATTGAAAACGATAATTGTTAACATATTTTAGCTATTATAAATGAAAGAGATTCTTTTTTAGATAAAATAAAGGATAATTTGTCTTATTTCTAACAAAATCTAGCCGATTTTTGACCACAAAGCGCCCACTCCATTCCTAAAACTCGACAGACTTGTTCTCCGCAATCCACTTTGTGCTCAACGTAAACACACCCTTTCTGGTGCGCTCAATTTTCTCGAATTCCTTTTATAAACTTTATCGCTACTACAAGAAAATGATAAACAACGGTGCTGGTAAAAAACTGGTGCGCCAAAGAGGATGTGTTTGTGAAATTTGAGCGTAAAGTAGATCCCAAAGAATATTGCAATGTATTGTCCATTCATTTCCCCCACAATCTTTTCACACTCCCTTTCTTTTCCCTCAACAAAACCCACCATTCCGCACCGTCGTGTCTGTAGGGGAATCACACGGATTTCACTCTTTTTCTTCTGATTTTTGGTTAGTTTTTAAGAGATTTTCGTTGAATTAAATTGTTGAATTGAAGTGTTGAATTAAATTGTTGAATTAAATTGTTTTATTAAATTGTTTAATTAAATTGTTGAATATTAAAGTATTCAATTAAAGTATTCAATTGTTAGCTCATCTTTTGACGGTTTAAACTCGAAGAATTTCCTTTTTGTTGCTCATCTTTTGAGCAACAAAAAGGAAATTCTTTTGTTGCTCATCTTTTTAAACGCAAAATCTCCTTTGCTTTTTTTTCCTTTTTCTTTCCTTTTTCTTTTCCTTTTTTTTCCTGTTTTCGTTGAATTAAATTGTTTGAATTGTTAAATTGTTGAATTAAATTAAATCAATTAAAGTATTCAATGGTTAGCTCATCTTTTGACGGTTTTTCTCGTCAAGAATTTCCTTTTTCCTATTTCCTTTTTCCTGTTACCTGTATCGCTTGAAGTTTCGAGAATTCCTTTTGTCGTTTTTTCGTTTCACAATAGACACGCGAATAGAGAATGATCATTATGGAGACGGGAAGGTAAAAAGCGGCAATCGCTGTACCCACCTAAAAAACCAAAAAATCGATTTTCATTTTGCTGTAACTTTAAGCTCAAATATCTTGGTGTTCGGCCCTTCAAATTAATAAGTTTTTGTACCAATCGATAGAGAAAGACTTGGCGCATCTAATGATACCAAGAATATGTGAATTGGATAACCCAATATCAAGAAATTTGAGCTTAAAGTTAAATTGCCAATCGCGAAGGGGCGGGGCGACGGACCTTTTATACGCGCCCGCCCCTTTTTCCATTGGCGATCTAAAAGTCGGCTCATTTTCTATCGTAATCGTTTTCTATTTTGCCTATTGATCAAAAGAAAAGTTTGTTTTATTAATAAGAGTCATCTATTAGAGATCTCTTTTCCATTTTGAATTCCCGAAAAGCTTGAAACCGATAGTTTTAGTACAAAAATTAAGTTGATTTTATTAATATTAGTAATTAGCAAATGGTAATCCCAAAGAAAAAATAGTTAACGCAAAGATTTCCCGTAAAGTTTTCCCGTTTTTAGTCTTTTTTCCTTTACCCTCATCGCCATTCCAACGCTTAAACCCTGTAAAAAAATAGGAGAGTTTCAAGTGAAATTTAAAATTTGATGTATGTAAAAAAAAGTTCTAATAGACTATTAAAAAAAGTTGTAATAGACTAGTAGTATGTTAAGTTTAAGTTTTAAACAAGTCACCTTCAATTTCTGGCTTTAATTTTAGATTTTCATCTCTGCAAAAAAACCCACCGTAACATAGGGATTCGTCTCGAGGAATAAAACGGCACAAGTGCCCTTTTTGAGGTTCAATTTCTCACCTGAAATGTTTTTTTATATATATTGGCTTATTATATTGGCTATATATTGGCTATTTTTATTGGCTTTGTTCAATGACAGAAGGACTGAATGAAGTTCAATGACAGAAGGACTGAATGACTGAAGGAAGTTCAATGTTCAATGACAGAATAAAGAGAATCTTTTATCTATTTATATAACTGTTCTTTTTCTTTTGGGATTTTGATTTTCTTTTCTTTCTTTCCTTTTCTTTCTTTCTTTTTCTTTCTTTCTTTCTTTCTTTTTCTTTTGCTAGCCGAAAAAAAGAAGATATTCAGCTGTAAATGTAAGATAAAGATTCAGAAAGGATTTTTAGTTTGAAGCCAGTTGTATGACCGTATTTTCCCTAAGATTCAGAAAGAATTACTTAATGTTAGCTTAAAGTGAGTTGTAGCCAGCCACTTTAAATCTTATTCTCTAGCAATCAATTTTATTTTACAGATAATATCTGAAAACTTTACCCTCAATATATGGCCATGAAATAATCCACGGTGGCCAGAGTATCAATGAAATGATATATGTACAAGCGATCATTGTCAACGCTTTTTTCGTTGTTCTCCTGAAAAATGAGTGGAATACAATAGTTTTTTTAACTTTAAATTATTGTGTTGGTGAATTGAAAACTCCGGGACTTTGAACTAAAATTTTGAACTAAAATTTATTGAACATAAAACCATGAATTCATTCCAAATAATTTCCATTATTATTGACGACTTCTGCCCATTTTACAGGCAATTTGCGGATTCCTCTTTCGTAGTAGGATTTTGGTTTTGAATCGAAAAACTTTCAAAGCCAATTTTTGACTGCTTCTTCCGAATCGAAGTGTTCTCCCGCAAGCTCATTACTCATGATCCGGAATAAATAGTAATCAAAAGGGGGGAGGTCCGGACTGTATGGGGGATGCGCCAAAAGTTCCCAAACAAGGCTATTTATTTTAGAGCGAGTCAGTTTTGCAACATGAGGGCGCGCGTTGTCGTAGATGAGAACGATCTTTGACTTGGAGGGCCTATTCTTCTTCATGGATTCATTCACCTTTCCCAACTGTCCACTGTATTTGATTGCATTACCGGTCGTCTTGCTATCCAGCAACTCCCAGTACAAGTGTGTGAGACAAGTGTGAGACTCAAAAATGGAGGACTGGAGCTGTCCCAGTGTCCCAGTTTGAGCACTTTCTTCAAAAGAAACCCATTTTAGTGTCAATAGAAAAGTTGTAGAGAATCAAAAATTAGACTTATAGCCAAATTCCCAAAAAGATACACTTAGTAGTTTCGCTTAAAATTTTTGTTTTGTTGCAAGTTTTGTGAAAATTCGTAAATTTGGCATTTCTTGAAAACCAGTTTTTGAATCGTTCTGAAAATTTGGATATGAGCTTGATTTTTGATTCTCTACAACTTTTCCATTGACACCAAAATGGGTTTCTTTTGAGAAAAATGCACAAACTGTCACATATGACAATAGCCCGCAGTTTTCAATTCACCAATCCAATCGTTGCATTGTTTTAATTTGTCTCTTTTTTTCTCACCTCGGTCGATATGTGAGTGGCCGGGTGACAGAGAAATAACGATCGAATGAAATGAGCAACAGATTCAGCACCGACGCGTTTGACATCAAATAATCGACACATCTAAAGAAAAATAGATTTCGAATCTTTTTCATAAAATATCAACTAAATCTACATCTAGATCTAAATCTAGATCTAAATCTAAACCTAAATCTAGGTCTAAATCTAAGTATTATTTCATTAAAGAGCTGCATAATCTACTATATATAAAAGAGCAATGTCTGTCTGTTCGTTCGTCCGTCTGTACCGGCTTTTTCTTAGCCATCTTTAAGCCAAAAAAAACTGAAATTATTTTAAAAGGCTTAAAATATAATCTAGTTCTGCTTTTTAGACTAGAAGATTAAAAAAATCAAGTGGTTTTACGGGGGTCGAACCCGGATAGACGAATCCGGGCCGATAGACCATAGACAAGCGCGCTCCCGACTACGCCACGGCGACAACACCAAGAACACCAAGAAAACCAGCGGAAAGCTTAACACCAGCTTGAAACCGAGCCAAAAATTAAGCTGTTAAGCTGTTAGCTGGTTATCAGTATAAAACTAATTTTCGCTGTTTCAATTTAAAACTTACAACCAAAATTGACACATGGCATATCCCATTCCCCAGGATCGATTCGCTGTGTAATATGTGTACAAAGGAATCGAGATCATTCCTGAAAAACCACAAATTTTAAAAATTCAGTATTTTCTCATTAAATCTTGTAGAAATAAAAGTTTTCTTACAATAAAACTTACAATAAATTTTCTTTTTTTCTTTTTTTTTTTTTTTTTTTTTTTTTTTTTTTTTTTTTTTTTTTTTTTTTTTTTTTTTTTTCCCCCCCCTTTTTTCCCTTTTTTTTCCTTTTTTTTTTTTTTCTTAATTTTTTCTTCTTTTTTTTTTTTTTTTTTTTTTTTTTTTTTTTTTTTAACCCCTTTTTTTTTTTTTTTTTTTTTTTTTTCAACCGTTTAACTAATTTGGTGGCAAGCTCCTTTCAAATGTAAAGATATTCAATTTACTCGACGTGTAAAGAGGATTTACTCGTAGTTTACTCGACCAAAAAAAAACGTCGGTTAATCGAGTAAAGATTACTGATGCAATTTTTATTCGAGGAATTACTTACTCGCAAGGAACACACACACACACACACACTCTACTCACCAATCGTGATATCAGCGACGGCCAAACTGAAGAGAAAATAATTGCTGATCGTTTGGAGTTGACGATCGATTTTGAAGGAAACCATCACCTGAAAGGAGATTTACTAAACAATCATTTAACTATTTATAGAGTTGAATTTATAAGATCAAAATTATTTACCTACAGGCTACAAGATTATTTCAACCGTTTCAGAGCAATGTTTCCAACAACTATCTATCAACAACAACTATCCAACAACTAAGAAAGATCTTCTCTCTTGAGCCAAAAACTTTAACAACAGAATTTAGCGTTTTATGCAGATGCTTATACTCACAAAGCTTGAGTGGTTCAGGATTTTTCCTGGACTACTCAAGCTTTAGTGACCACTCGTTAGTGACTACCTTTAGTGACCACTCGTTTCTTAATCCGATGGATTTCAGTGTTTGGAATGTTCTTGAAGCAAAAACATGTTCAAAACCGAATTCCAGCTGGAAAAGGATTTGATAAACTTGATTGATTTAAATTTCGTTTATAAGTGAATTAAAGAAAACCGATCAATGATCAACGGCCAAAAAGCGGACAAGACTTTTCTTGATAGTTTCTCTTGTTTAATATATCTTTATAAGTCGTTATTTTTAAGTTGATTTCTCTTTTATCGATTTCTATTCTTAAAATTGATTGCAATAATGCTATCCAAAATGCTATCTATCCAAAATCGATCCAAAAGCAATGATCCCAAAGACAAAGAAAAGGTTATCACTCAAATTACAACTCATTGTCTCATTCGTTTACCTTTGTTTAAAAATACCGACTGGGGCTACCAGTGGTGAATTTATCGCATACACGAAATATATCAATCACAATACAACGACACACACAATACTAGGCTATATCTTAACTTAACCCACGTCATGACAGACGGCTCCCTAACCCTAAGCTCAATGGGGAACTAAATAGCTTTTTTGGTGGTGAAGGGAAGATGACGATGAAGGAGTGGCTTGTCACTTTAAAGAACTGGGGCCACAACCACCAGACTGCCCTCCAGAAAACCTCTCAACCCGAAGGGAAAGGAAATCCGAAGGGGGTGACCATGTCGCATGTGGGGTTCGAACCCTCGACCTTCCGATTAAGATAAAAGACACTTAACCAGTCAGCCACACGTGCTATTTATTGTTAAAATGAAAGCCAAATAAATAAGGAATTTAAATATTTAAAGCCAATTTTTATCTTTTAAAGCCAATTTTTATCTTTTAAAGCATTCATTCTCGTTTCTAGAACAAACCATCAAATTTCCGACGGTTGTCAACAGGGCGAAGATCAATCCCAAAACAACGATCACTCCAATTCGAGCTTCTCCCCAATTGCTTTCCAACATACTCCCTAAATAGTTCTTAAATAGTTCGTAAATAATTCGAAATAATATTCTTTTAAAATAATGTAAATATTGCTTTATTTTATCGTTTTTCCATAAAAATATAAGAGATTTTGATTGCTTAAAGCTTTAAAGTTTTAATTTAGACAACGTTTATCGATGAATTGATAATCCGTTTTATTAAATCAGTTCTTTCAATAAAATTTCTAAACTTTCACCATAGAATTTTTCTTTATAATTGTTAGTTTATGTTTTGAAATTGTTCTTTATAATTTCCGCAAATGATTTGAATTATTTAAAATTATTTAAAATGATTTGAAACCATTTGAAATGATTTAGAATGCCCTTCCCGACAAGTTGCGTTTGATATCCACCGTGTCTGATTTTAAAAGGGCTATTTCGTTGCATTTTAAGTGACTTTGTCATCTTTTATCTAGTACATTTTTCATGTCGTTTTCGCACTTTATTTCTTTCTGAATAAAGTATTTATATTTAGAACCATTTAAAATTATTTAAAATTATTTAAAATTATTTGAAATCATTTATAATCATTTAAAATCACTTATAATCATTTAGAATCATCTCAAATCATCTCAAATCGTTTGAAATCATTTAAAATCATTTGAAATCATTTAAAATCATTTGAAATCACTTAAAATCATTTCAAATCATTTCAAATCATTTCAAATCATTTCAAATCATTTCAAATCATTTCAAATCATTTAAAATCATTTCAAATCATTTAAAATCATTTCAAATCATTTAAAACCATTTCAAATCATTTCAAATCCTTTAGAACCATTTACAATAATTTGAAATCATTTAAAATCATTGGAAATCATTTAGAGTCATTTAAAATAATTTATAATCATTTCAAATCATTTAAGATCATTTCAAATCATTTAAAACCATTTCAAATCATTTCAAATCATTTAAAATCATTTCAAATCCCCTTACCACTGGGTTCCCATGTTGTGGGTGTTGTTGTGATTAATGAAGAGTCATTTGAAGACATTTTCTTCTCTGATAAAACCTGAAATTTGAAAGATTCAAGAGCTTTTGGTTCTTTTTATTTCATTTCTTTCATTTCTTTTAAAATTTCAATTTTTATAACCAAATTTGAGAATTAAATGTGATTACAAATCTTTTCTCATAGCCGTTTCCTTTGAAATAAACTATTTTCTTAAAATATTCAATTTATTAGAGCTGTAAATGGTATTGTTTTTTTTTTGGCTGGAGTACAGTTTACCCCTCTGCCCCCACAGTTGAGATCTCTGAAGTGGTTTTTCTGGCGTAATTTTGTGCGTAGAATTCGAATTTTAACATCCCAGGTGCGGATTTTTTCCACAAAAATTTTTAAACGTTTGTTTTGATTGCTGCCTTGCCCCTTGCTCCCCCAAGGCAAAAATTTTTTTGAAAAATTAAAATTTCTCAAAAACGTTCCAAAACGCTTCTAATATATATAAAAGGCTTAGTTTAATACGTAGATAAAGATCCCCTTGTGGCGGGCCTACTATTTACCTAGGCTTCGGCTTCGCACATACGGTGGCGCCGACGCCTGTGTGAGTTTGCAGCACCGCGTGCACCGGTCGCAACTTTTTTGGTTTGTGTCTGGTTAAGACTCGAGCTTTGCCTATAGGTATCGCTCTTTTTTTGTGGTTTGTGCCTGGGTTAGGCTTAGGTTAGGTTAGACGAGCTTAACCCAGGCAGAAACCAAAAAATGGCGATACCTATAAGCAGTTGCAGACGGTGTAAAGGCCGCACAAAAAACCACCGTTTCCACGCTGGATTTACCTCCTACCATCATTTTTTTGTGAAATTCGGATTCTACACACAAAATTACCGCAGAAGAACCATTTGAGAGGTCACTTGTTGCTGCAAGCATTGTTGCTGCAAGCATTGTTGCTGCAAGTCATTGTTGCTGCAAGCATTGTTGCTGCAAGCATTGTTGCTGCAAGCATTGTTGCTGCAAGCATTGTTGCTGCAAGCATTGTTGCTGCAAGTCATTGTTGCTACAAGTCATTGTTGCTACAAGTCATTGTTGCTGCAAGCATTGTTGCTACAAGTCATTGTTGCTACAAGTCATTGTTGCTACAAGTCATTGTTGCTTTTTTTAACTATTCAATTGATTGTCAACTTGATTTTACGACTTTGTCGATCAATTTACGACCAGTTTACTGGCTTATCGATCGCATTTTTCGCAACAATATTCTCAAAAAAACGTTTTCCCAATTCGTTTTCAAGACTAAATGTAAGATCTTTGATAAGTCAATGAAGAAATCAAGAAATGCCAAAGTTTCTTCCAAAAAAACAGCACTCACCTCATTTTCTCTCACCCCAATGGTCTATTCTCGTTTGTTCTCTCAAAAAAAAAAGTAAAGAAAAGAACACAAAAAAAAATAAAGTGAGGATTATTTATGAATGAGTGGATCTCTTTGAAAAGAACTTTTAAAAAAAGGGACCACTTTAAGGAAATCGTTTCTTTTCTTTTTTCTTTTTCTTGAAGACCTTAGAACGCAGTTTTCCCTTGTGTTTTTGGATTTTATTTAAAAAGAAAGAAAGAAAAAGGTTGGTTTTTCATTGGTTCAAAAAAAAATGAGACAGGAAATTGAACTGACGCATTTTGTTGGGGAAAAGTTGAAAGAAGTCGTTTCGTTTTATGAGATTTAAGCCATGAACTTGAGTTTTCCTTTTGGATACATCATTTTTGAAAACACTACGCTTTTCTTTGATCTGATTTGGTTATTTTCGAGATAGATACCGTATTTTCACTAATAGTAGTGCACCCTGAGTGTCGCTTAAATAAATATTGCTGCTCGAAGCTCGAAAGCCACAGCCACGAAAGCCGAAAGCCACCTATCGATGTGGGGAAACAACGACACCAAAAAGATCGCTTAATCCGAAACAAACAATCAATCTAACAGCTTGATATAAAAAGCTAATAAAATAAAGATATAGAAAAGATCTCGAAATAAGCCTAAGCAACGTTTAGTGAATCCTAGGCTTCGTCTAAATTCCTCGAAATCTCGAGAACCACTTATCAGAACCTATCGATGTGCGGTCGGAAATGTAGCTGACGATGTGATCTTGTGGGGGATTAAAGTGTCAAGCTTTTACAAAAGCTTGGAAACCGTCAAATAGTCGTTAACTCCATCAACTCGACTCGGGCGGGGTGCACTACTATTTGGGAAAATGCGGTATCTTAAAAATCTATAGCTAAAATTCAGCGGTGTCCATGAGCAAGAGGTGAATGTCAAAGAGGCAATGTCTCACAAAGTCCCGTTGCGACACAGATACTTCATTTTCCTACAAACGAGAGTACCAGACGGGGCTTACCGTTATTTTCTCTAATGTAGTGCCCCTAAGCTTCGTCTAATTCCTCGAAATCTCGAGCGCTTTCGAACCTTCGATGTGGGTCGGAATGTGCTGCGTGAGATCTTGTGGGGGATTTGAGTGTTGAGGTTCTGTGGAAACTTTGGAAGCTGTAAAATAGTCACAAACTCGGCTGCACTACTATTAGAGAAAATACAGAGAAAATAGAAATTCAATCCAATTTTTTTTGAGTTGGATTGAATGAAGTAAGATTATGGGTAATTTTCTAAACATGTTTTTTTTTTGAAAACCCTTGGATAACCTTGGATCTAGTTTTTGTACAGACTAAAAGTTAAAATCTTGCTTTTTTCTGATAAATATTGCAAGTAAGCTTTAGTTGAATATTTTCAAAAAAAAAGACTAATAGCTTTCCACTCACCAAGCCCTCCACTCTTATGTATTAGATCTCAAAAAAAGATCTACCAATTATCGCTCATTCAGAGAACTTTACGAAAAAGTTTGAAACTTTTAGCGTTAACTATAGCGTTAACTATAGCGTTAACTATAGCGTTAACTATAGCGTTAACTATAGCGTTAACTATAGCGTTAACTATAGCGTTAACTATAGCGTTAACTGTAGCGTTAACTGTAGCGTTAACTATAGCGTTAACTATAGCGTTAACTGTAGCGTTAACTGTAGCGTTAACTGTAGCTAAATGTAAACCAAAAACGTTAACTGTAGCTAACTTTAAACCAAAAAACAACTCTAGTAAATTATAGTGATATTTCTGTATTTAGATTAGTGCCCAAATCCTGACAACCTTTTTTTTCTAAACGACTTTTGCCAAAGACTTTTGCTGCCTTCCTTTGGTTTCTGCGTAGCTGCCCAGCCAACTTTCGTTGGACGTTCAGGGCAGCTACGCAAGAAATTTGGGCTACTTTTTAGAAACGTTAAATCGAGAGTCGACTGGTTGGTGCAAGTCTTTGCAATTTTTTTTTCAAGCGTGTTTTAAAAATAATCCCACCATCAACAAAATTTCTATTTAAACTATTAAAAAGTTTAATTATTTCTCTGCAAAATGACTTTTGAGAAATTCTTGAAAGTAGTTGTTTTTGTAGATTTTTAAAGGCGCAAAGATTAGCACCCAACTCCAAAGCCGAAGTCGATGCCAAAACAGCTCCAATTTAGACACTTTCTTCAACACAAACCTATTTTTGTGTCAAAGTAAAAAAGATAGAGGTTATTTGATTACATAAGTCTAGAAAATTTGAAAACGATCTGTTCAGCGATTTTCTTTAAAAAAACAATTGAAATTTTGAATAAAATGGCGTTATCGAGCTAGGGCGAGCTTTGAGCTTTTGTAGAGAAATGATAGACTTTTTAATAATTTACAACAAATTTGGTAAAAGATTCTTTTCTATGGGAAGAAAAGTTTGAAAAATATTGTAAAGAAGCTTAATAGAAAGGTGAAATTCTACCGAAAAACAAAACGAACCTTGACGACGACGTTGAATAGATGAGTGTTGTGAAATGGGACAAGTGCTGGTTGATGAGAAGCAGATGAAGCATTAGAATTGAATAAATGAAATGACGAGGATGAAGAAGAGGAAAATGGATGGGAAAGATGATGAGAAGACATTGTGGGAGAGTGCAGATGATGGGGATGATGGGGATGAAGGGAAGGAGGTGATCACCCACGAGATGGACGAGAAGCGACGAGGCGATGAGTGGGGATCCTGAAAAGGAGAACCGTTTATCAAATGGCTCAGATTCGACAAATTTCAATAAGAATTTCTTTACCGTCTAAATTTTACAGATTACGGTCGAAAAATTGATTCAATTTTATCGTTACCACACTAGTTTCACTAGTTTTTGAGAAACAACCCATTTTTGGATTGTTTTAGATAAGAAAATCTTTAAATCTTTATTTATTCGATATGTTTAATAAAAGCTTTTCGGCTCTTGCGTAATTTTCAAATATTTTCAAAGAATCCGAGTATTTTGGAAAAATCTGGATTTTTTGAACGGCTCATCACGCTTTCAAGGCCTATAACTTTATCCAGAGATCATATTTTTGTTAAATTTTTATATCATTGTACAGAGGACATTTCAGGCTTTCAAGTGATACCAAATAGAGCTTGATTGAATAATCGAGTCCAAGAAAATCAGAGCCGACTCTGAGCAAATGAAGCCTATCCGACTCTGGTGTCGTGTCGCCTGGTTTGCATGGGAATGAAAAAACTAATTAAGCTCTGTTTGGTATCATTTGAAAGCCTGAAATGTCTTCTGTACAATGATATAAAAAGTTAACCAAAATATTTTGTCTGGAGAAAGTTATAGGGCTTCAAAGCGTGACGACCCGTTCAAAATACCCGGATTTTTCCAAACTGCGCAAGAGCTAGCTTTTCAGTCAAATCAATGAATCAAAAACAATAAATGAATGAATAAAATGAATGAATGAATGAATCTAAATCTATGATACAATTGTTGATCACGATACTCCAATATCTTTTCAATTATTGCCAAATTCCAATATAGAAACTTTAGAAAAGATTATTGTAAAAATATTGGATAAAAAACGATCGTATCACCATTATATTGAAAACAAAACTTTAAAAAATCACTTTCGACTTTGTTTGTTAACTTTATTAAACTTTATTAAACGGAATTTGTTTTCGAAAAGCCAAATTCATGAATTGCTT